AACGTGGGATTAGACACTGAGCGAAAAGGGATGGAATTTGGGGTATCAGCTTGTCCCCACGCCCCGGGGAGCAGAACTGGAAGGATATGAAAATCATGATGACATGATGGTGGTGTGACAACAGGGATGAGCCCTGAGCCTGGGCATGTACAGAACAGTGAGGTTTTATTCCTACAGCACCTTAAGAAAACTCTTACAGTGCCCCAGGAAGGCAGCACAGACACAGTTCCCGAGGTTGGAGTGGCTTCTTCTGCTCTCAGGTGCCAAATTTCTTCTGTTGGACAGGCAGAGGCAGCTGGGTTTTGAAGTCCATGATGGGTCGTTCCACCACAACCAGGCAGTTCTTGTCCAGGAGATCCATGAAGAGCAGTGGCTGCAAGGCCAGAGATGGGAATCAGGGAATCAGGGCATGGTTTGGGGTGGAAGGCACATTAAAGTGATCTCGTTCCACCCCATGCCATGGGAAGGGACACCTTCCCCTAGCCCAGGCTGCTCCAAGCCCCATCCAGCCTGGCCTTGGGCACTGCCAGGGATCCAGGGGCAGCCACAGCTGCTCTGGGCACCTGTGCCAGGGCCTCAGCACCCTCACAGGGAACAATTCCATCATATTATCCCATCTAACCCTGCCCTCTGGCAGTGGGAAGCCATTCCCAGTGTCCTGGCCATACCCTTGATCCAAGTCCCTCTCCAGAGCCCGAGCACCTCCCTGGCCCCTCTCCCCAACACCATCAGCCACCTGGAACTTCTTGCAGATCTTGAAGGCGTGGAGCTGCCTCTTCCTGGCGGTCTCTGGCAGCTGTTTCAGGGTGCTCTGGTTCATCAGGAGGGCGCTGTCGTCGGGCAGGGGCTGCGGGAGCGGGCACAGCGCGGGTCAGGCTCCCGCAGGAGCCCCCCGGGCACCCCCAGCCCTCCAGTGGCTCACCAGGGACTTGTCGAGCACGCAGAGCAGGTAGGTGTCGTGGAGCAGGATGTGAGAGGGGTTCTTGGGGTTGAAGGTGATGTGGGTGATGGGCGAGTCCCGCTCCAGCCAGGCGCGGTGCAGCCCCCGGCTCTGCACGGCGCGGCTCCAGCTCGTGTACTGCTTCTCGGGGATGCTGAACTCCAGCAGCTGCGGGGCAGGGCGCCAGGGGCACGCTCAGGGGAGTCCCCTCCTGCCAGCAGCTCCAGGCAGCGCCCCGAGCCCAGCCACACTGCCATGAGGGCACAGAGACAGGCACAGGGAACGGAGCAGGGCCAGGAGAGCTCGACCAGGACAGCTCCTACCTGCTGGTCCGAGTAGGCAATGACGAGGTTGTTGGTGCTGGGGTGGATGGCGAGGGCTGATACGGCGCAATTGTAGGTGGGCACCACGCAGTGATGCTGCAGGAGGGGACAGTGCACTGATGGGACCCGCCAGGGCCACTGCTGACAGCTTTCCCACACACCCACCCCTGGCCAGAACCTCCAGGAGTGCCCCTGACCCCCTCTCCCACACACCCACCCCAGCCCTGCTCCAGGGATGCAGTGATGGCTCCCAGGGGGGCCGTGCCTGCTGAGTCCCCCATCCCATGTCCCCTGAGGCTGGGGGGTCACTGCCAGGCCCACCTTGAAGCATTTCAGGTTGTAGATGTGGATGGCCCAGTCGCCGCTGACGGCTGCCAGCCAGTGCCCGTCCGCGCTGGGCGCCAGCAGGTAAACGGCCTCGGAGCAGCCTGCAGACAGCTGGGGCTCAGAGGGGTGCTGGGAGCCCCAAACCCCAGAGACACCCAGCCCCACGTCCCCCCTGACTGTCCAGTCAAGGCCATGAGAGCACAAATACCCCCAGGAGAGACCCTCACACCCCTCAGGGCAGCAAAGGGGGACAGCCCCTTCTGCACCCACAGGGCGGGGGGATGCAGAGCCCAGAACCCCCAGCCCAGCTGCCCCCCAGCCCACACCTGAGGGCGGCCGCAGCGTGTGCAGGTGTTTGCAGCCCCCCGGCTCCAGCAGCTGGAAGACGTGGACAGATCCTCGAGCGGAGGCCACAAAGAGGCAGTCGGAGTCGGCGGAGAACTGCAGCTGGTAGGCTGGAGGCAGCACCTTGGGCACTTTGGGGACCTGGGAGCGGGGAGAACGCGGCCCTGGCAGCCACCCCACTGCCACCCACAGTCCCCAGCAGTGACAGCGGCCACGCCAGCCCCCAGGACCCCGCGGCCCCCCAGCCCCCTGACCTTCCTGAGGCTGACGCCGTCCCCGTCGCAGCACACGCGGTACAGCTGGAAGCGGGAGGCCGTGGAGTAGCCCACCCAGGTGCCGCAGGGCGAGACGCAGCTGCAGTAGATGTGCTCCGGGCCCTGGGAACGCCACGGGACTGAGGGGGGCCCGAGGAACCCCCAGAGCCCAGCACGCACCCCTCGGCTGCCCAGGGGCACCCCAGCCCGCTCAGCCCTACCTTGCTCTTGAGCTGCACGAGGTGCTCGGGCATCCGGCACAAGGGAAGGACCTCGCCGTCCTTTCCTGGGAAAGGAACCACACAGACCACCAGTGAGAGTGGGAAAACCACACGGAGCAGCTGGGGATCCTGGGGGAGTGCCCAGACCCCTCCCTGAGGCTCAGGACAGCTCAATCCCAAATTCCTGCTGGCAGCCCGGGCTCTGCCAGGAGAGCTGCGCCTGTGACTCACCGGTCTCCTCAGTGGAGCCAAGTCTCCAGAGCTCCAGGTACTGGGAGAACTGGAAGAGGAGCAGCCGGGCTTTCCTGGCGCAGGAGACGAGGCGTCGCTGCGTGGAAAAACAGGCAGGATGTCACGGACCCACAGCCTGGCACAACGGGCTGGGGCACAGCCGGAATGCCCTGGGGTGCTGGTGACTCCGCAGCGGGGGAGAGCAGGGAAATCAGGTCCGTGGGATGGGAGCCTGGAGATGGAGACCCAGCAGGACCAGCAAGACCAGCCTGACAACTTGCACTGCTCCTTGGCAGAGCCTCCAGATGTACCAGGAAAGCAGACACAACAGGGCAGAGGAGGGAGCCAAGGACAGGGGAGGAACCCTGGCACGGCAATGAGGGCGCCTGGAAGGGCAGGGATATCCAGCCCTGCCAGCTCCAAGACCCCAGAGCATGCACCACTCACGTGGGGGAAGGTGAATTTTCGGAGCACCGCGTCGTAGCTCTTCTTCTGCATCTTCTCCATCAGCGGGCGGATCACCAGCTGGGCGTCCAGGCCTGGAAGGCAAGCACAGATCAGCCAAGCCGGTACTGGGAGGGGAGATCCAGCCCAGTCCCGGTGCCAGCGGCAGCCCTACCCCCGGAGATGAGGGCGGTGGGGCTGTGTGCCACGGCCCGCACGTCGTGGCTGTGGAACTGGAAGGGCTTTGTCCGCACCCAGCGCTTCTCCAGCCCGCCCAGCCTCACTGGCAGCAGCTGCAGCTGGTAGGTGGCCCCGGTGGAGGTGCCCACGATTATGCTGTCCTCCTTCTGCAGAGGAAAACAGGACAAGGCTGTGGGAGCAGACCGGGAACAACAGGAGGGCACTGAGCGCAGCAGCCCCGCTCCCTGTCAGCCGGGGGGACCCGGGGGTGTCACCCACCTCTGACACGGCCAGCGAGAGCACGGCCGAGGTGCTGACGGCGTGGGACTCTGCCAGCGCGCCCTGCTCCCAGTCCCAGAACTGCACCCTGCCAAAGGAGTCGGCGCTGACCACGGTGCCGCTGGAGAGGAGGGCGACGGCCCACACCACGCACTCGCGCTTGGCCTTCTCCACGTGGTGGTTCACCATGATCCTCTGCACCGTCTGGCCTGCAGCGGGACAAGGTTGGGGGTGGCCGGGGGTTCCCCTGGGGGCCAGTGGGTGCTGGTGGTCCCGGGGGATGGGATAAGGCTGCTCCCGGGACAGGAGGTACCTGAAGTGACGTCGATGACACGGAAGAAGTCGATGGAGCCGGCCACGATGTGAGTGTCCGAGGGGTGCCAGGACAGGCACAGGACACGGCCTGGGGAGGAGGGAAGCTCCGTGTCAGAGCCCGTGGGCTCGCAGCCCCCCGGTAACTGGGACACCCAGAGGGATGGAGGGATGGAGCTGCAGCCAGCACGGGCCTTTCCGCCTGTCCAGGTTCCGCTCAAACTGGATCCCTCCGGGAACCACTTGGAAGATCTTGACGGAGCCGTCCTCGCAGCCGATCTGCGGGGGCTGGGATCAGCGGGGGCACGGCGGGACCCTCTCCCCGCCCCACCGCCGGCCCCGGCCCCGCTCCCGGCGGGACTCACCGCCAGCTGGGTGCCGGTGCCGTTGGCCACCATGCTCCAGATGGGTCCCCCGCCGCCATCGACGCCGCGGGCCGCGCTCAGCCCGGACAGGTCGAACTCGGTGATGTCCCCGCCGAGCCCGGCCCCGAAGAGCCGGTCCCCGGCCGCCCAGCACAGCGACTCCACCGACCGCGCCTCGTGCCCGGGGATCACCTGCGGGGGACGGGGTCACACCGCGGCACCGGTACCACCGGTACGGACCGGCAGCGCCGGATAGCGCCCGGTACCGCCCCGGTGCGGCCCGACACAGCCCCGGTACGGATCCGCACGGCCAAGTAAAGCCTGGTCTCGGCTGGACACGGCCCGCCCCGGCCCGGTACAGGCTCGGTGCCGATCGGAAGGACCAAGCAAGCCCCGTACGGGCTCGGTACGTGCCCGGTACAAGCTCGATAAAGCCCGGTGCGGCTCAGTACAGGCCCGGTACATCCCGGTACATCCCGTGCCGGCGCCCTCACCTTCTCCTGGAAGTAGTTGGCGGCCAAGTTGTACACCTCGACGGCGCCGTCGGTGCGGGCCAGGGCCAGGCGGGCGCCGCGGGGCTGGCAGGCGAGGCAGCGCACGCCCGCGGGCACCAGCCCGAAGAACCGCACCCGGTGCACCTGGAACTCGCCCATCGCGCTCCGCCGGCCGCGGCGCCGCTCCCGCTCCGCTCCCGCTCCCGCTCCGCCCCACGTGCGCGCGGCGCGCCGGAACCGGAGCTGCCCCGGGGGCCGCGCGGAACCGGAAGCGGAAGCGGCGGCGCGGCGGGAGATTCGTGCGGGGCCGGCGGCGGGTGCGGAGCGGGGCCGGGGCGGCGGGGCCGGGGCGCGGCGCGGGGCGAGCCCGCGGTGCAGCGGGAGGGGTCCGGCCCCGAGAGACCCCGCCGGGCTGCCCCGGGCCGTCCCCGCGGCACCGGCGCCGCTGGAGGGCACCAGCGCCCCGCGGGAGGGACCCGGGTCTGGGCTGTCCGGGGGAGGCTGGGGGTCTGGGCCTGGGGCGGTGTCTGGGCACGGGGGTCTCTGGGGCCCGGGAGGGGACGGGCCTGGGGGTGCTGGGGGTCTAGGGGCTGGATCTGGGGGGCAGCAGGGCCTGGGGATCTGTGGGGACCGGGGGGCTGAAGGGCCTGGTGACATTCTGTGTGCCTGGGGGATGGATCTCAGGATCTGTGGGCCCAGAACGGGGTCTGTGCGTGGGGGGCTCTGTGGGGCACGGGGGCAGAAGCTCATCCTGGGGTCCCCAGAGGGGAAGGGCCAGGGGCTCCTGCTCCCCTGCCCCTGACCTGACCGTGTCTCCGCAGCCCCTGGCAGGGCCCGGCATGGTGCAGATCGTCATCTCCAGGTGAGCCCCGTGGGTCCCGTCCCCGCTGCCCCTGTGCCTGCCGGGGCCCGGGTGACCCTCCCCATCTCTCCCCCAGCGGTGGCACGGGGGCCCTGGCACAGTGGGTGCTGCTGGAGCTGCAGGGCGAGGTGGAGCCCCGGCAGAGCGGGGAGCTGGCCGGGAGCCTGCTGGGAGACCTGCACTACACCTGTGAGGTGAGACGGGACAGCGCCGGCACCTGCCGGGGACAGTCCAGCCCAGCCTCACCCTCCGCTCTCCCCAGGGCGTCCCCGTGCTCATCGTGGGCCACCACATCCTCTACGGGAAGGTGGTGCAGCTGGAGAAGCCGTTTGCTGTGCTGGTGAAGCAGGGAGGAGCCTCCCAGCCCAGCCCCCTGGGGCCCCACGGCCACTACACCGTTACTGCCCTCATCAAAACCAAGCTGCTCTTCAAAACCCGCCCCAAGCCCATCATCACCCACGTGCCCAAGAAGGTCTGAGGGGAAGGATGTGGGCTCTGAACTGTGATCTGCTGCTGGAAGGAGCAGCAGGGACTTGGGGAGATCCAGGACCTCATTCCTCTCCTGCACAGGGGACTCTGGCACTGCTGCGTCCTGTGTCTGGGCACCCAGAGCCCTTCCTGGGTCACTTGTCCCCCCCAAAATGACTCTTTTCAGAGCTCAACCAAGCTCTTGGCCACAGACCCTATAGATCACTGCAGGGGACATGGCTCCTGGTAGGTAGGGACTTCTGTGAGCCTGGGCAGGGGTGTCCCACCCAGGGGCTGCCCATGGTGTCCAGCAGGTCCCAGGGATCCACTGTGGTCCCAGGGATCCATGGAGGTGCCATTGTGGAGATGTCTCCTTCTACCCCCTCCCTGCAGCTGTAGGACACCAGTGCCACGCAGGGATTCAGGACCAGCCTCCCTCGAGTTGGGCAGGGGGTTCAGGGACCCTCCCCAAAACACAGCATGTGTCCTCACTTCAAGTCTTTATTTCCACAACTCCGTCAAGATATAAAAACCAGCCTTTTCCACCCGAAATATGGAAAAAAATTCCCCTGGCAGGTTCAAAAATAAATAGATTTACAAACCATCTGCGACAATACCAAAGAGCTACAAAAGTCTTCTAAAAAACCTTGTATTAAATTAAACAAAAACCAGCTAAAAGCTCCATCGTAGAAAGGGATTTTTTTTCCCAAGTCCTGAAAAAAGGACCCACAGGTGAATTCCCTGGGGAGGGGAAAGTTGGGAAGCACCTTGCCTAAATCCCCATCTTCCCACTGCTGGGAAGGTAGCGGGGTGGGAGTGATGGGGCCAGAGCATGACATGGCCCCAGAGGGTCTCCAGCAACGCTCCGGCCGGCACACAGCCCTCCAGTTTTCCCAGTTTCTCCATGCCAGGATCCCCCCCTTGGCTCTTTGGCAAAGCTGAAGGAACCTGCTGCCCTCCTGGAGCAGCCAGACCCCCCGGCAGGCCTGGGGGGCTGCCCCTGGGTACGTGCCCGCACGCAGCCGTGGGGCAGAGGCAGCACCAGCCGGCAGTGCTGGCACCGTGCTGGCAGAGGCTGTGTGTCCTGGGGGTGGGAAGGGCTGCAGCACCACGGAGGTGGGACTGGAATCCCTGTAAAAAGCACCGAAGGGTGGAAGGTTCTGGAGTGGGGTGTGGGGAGCGCGGCCAGCAGCGCTCCACACCAGGATGCTCCATAGGGCACAGCTGGGATGTAGCTGGCAGCACCTGGCTGGGTGATGGGCAGCCCTGGCTCGGCTTCTCTGTGGCCAGCTTGGGATGGAAAAATGAAAATATAGGAAAAGTTTGCATCTTAATATAAAGAAAGAAAGCAAGATTTCAAGATCTGATGAGAAATGCCAAGGGCTGGGAGCGCTCAGCGCTGCCCAGCAGCTCCGGGATTGGGAAAAAGGGGTCTGGGGGTGTTCACTCCAGCACGTGGGATCACCCCAGCACCTGGTGGTTCCTGGACGGGGAAGAGGGGACGGCGGTGGTTACCCTGACACGTCAGATCACCGTGGCACCTGGGACAGCCCTGGCACGGGACCACCCCGCGGTCAGACCTCAGTGAAGACCAGCCCACACTGCTCCTGCCTCTTGCCGCAGCGGCGGGCGACGATGGCCAGGTAGAGGGTGAGCAGGGCCACCCAGTAGCAGGCATAGAGGATGGCACCTGAGACGAGGAAGGCCACCTCGGTCTCGCTGAAGAGGTCCTGGCTGTAGGCGGTGTAGGCCAGCCCGCCCAGCAGCACCGCCACCCACACCGACACCGGCAGCAGCCCCACGAAGTTCACCACAATGGTGCGGCGCCCTGAGGTGCCCCAGCCCGACTTGTTGATGGTGGCAATGGCGAAGATTTTGGCGGGCAGCAGGCTGGACATGTAGAGGAGGGCGTAGAGGGACATGAAGATCATCTCGGCACTGCCGCGCAGGAAGCAGGCGTAGGTGGCCTTGATGACACCCACCAGCTGCACCGTCAGCAGGAACAGGAGGATGTTCCAGACGCGGCCGCGGTAGAAGAGCTGGATGACGGTGGCGATGAGGAAGAAGGGGAAGAAGCCGGTGACCACCGACTCGTAGGTCATCCAGAGGTGATGCTTGTGGAACCAGAGCGCGTTGTAGAGCCACTCGCGGAAGTAGGACTTGCTCCAGCGGGTCTGCTGGTTGAGCCAGCGCAGGTACCGCGTGGGCGTCTCCGTCAGGCACTTGGAGCGAGCCGTGTACTTGGTCCGGTAGCCCAGGCTGAGCACGCGGTTGGTGAGGTGCCGGTCGTCCCCGAAGCTGCACTTGCTGCCCAGGAAGGTCTGGTGGTACCAGTCCTCGAGGAACTGCTGCAGCAGCGCGTTGCGGTACATGCCCAGGGGGCCGCTGATGCACTGCACGCACCCGAAGTACGACTGGCACGCGCGCTCCACGTTGAAGGCCATCCAGTACCGCACGCTGCTCAGGAAGGAGAGCCACGAGTCGTACTTGTTCAGGATCTGGGGAGGGGATTGGATGTGAGCCCCGGCAGTGCTGCAGCCCCCTGGGGCCCCCAGCCCTGCCCTCCCTCGTGCCAGGGTACCTGGACATCGCCGCCGACGCCACCGACGTGGGGGTCGGCCTCCAGGATGCGGAGCATCTCGGCGGTGCAGGCGGGGTCCAGCACCGTGTCTGAGTCACACACCTGGGGGCAGAGGGAATGTCGAGCCCCGCTCCCGCCGCCCACGCGCGCCCGGCAGACAGCCCAGCCCACAGCCAGGCAAGCCTGAGCCACGGACGGCGAGACCGGGCAGAGCCCCGGAGACCGGCAGGCGATGGAGGGGAGCGGAGCACCCGGTGGTACTGGGGCACTGCTGCCCAGGACACCCATCTCTGGCTGCTGGCACCGAGGGAGGACCTGTCCCAGTCACCACATGTGGGGACCTTGCACCCCGTGCCACACTGTCCCACGGGATGACACCACAGCAGGCCGTGTGCTGAGGAGGTGAGGGGACACCCATGGGCAGCAGTGTGGGCAGCAGTCAACACCTCAGCCACCCCAGTGCCAGCGGCCCCCAGCCCTGGTGGCTCTTGGCCAGTTCAGGGGCCAGATCCAGTGACAGGCACCCAGGTGCTACTGGGAATTCCTGGGGCTGCTCCCTTTCCACCCACAGCCCCTCTGGCCAGGATCTCACTGCCCACATCCCCCAGCCCATGCACGCACCTGGATATAGTCCACGGAGTCTCCGAGCGCCCGGAAGGCCGTGTACATCACCTCCCGCTTCCCGCCCCACTTCTGGAGGATGCAGGAGTAGGTGTTGCTGCGGACCAGTGCCTGAACACGGGCCAGCCCTTCCCGCAGCCCGGCCTCCGTCTCCCCCTCGCCCCACGCGTGGAAGTTGCTCCTCCAGACGTAGCTGCCGGAGTGCTCGGAGCCCATCACGTCGCGGAAGATGTCCAGCATGTAGGTGTCGTCGGGGCCATTCCCGTCCACCACCATCACCACTTTGAGGTCGGGGAAGGCGATGCGCTTGACGGAGCGCAGGCACTTGGTCAGGTAGTCGGGATCCTCCTGGAAGGCGGCGATGCAGAGGGCCACCGAGCGCCCCGGCCGCACCGGCTGCCCCTCGCCCCGCATGCGCCGGTGCTCCAGGAAGGCGAAGAGGCTCTGGATGAAGAGGTGCAGCCCCAGGATGGCCCCGTAGAGCCCGAAGGAGAGGTAGTGCTTCTCCGTGTGGATGAACTGGTACCCTGTGACGTAGGCGGCCAGGATTCCCCCCAGCACCGCCACGGCGAAGAGGCTGGTCCCCACGACACGCAGGGCCGTGGAGAGGCTCCCTGGCATCTGGGGGACACGGGGCACCATCAGGGCAGGGATGCATTCTCCCCGTCAGGTCACCCAGAATGCAGAAGCGGGGTGGCCCTGCTCCTCCGCTGCCCCACGGCCACCCTGTCCCTCGCTGGTCACTGGTTTGGGAGTGACACCTTCCCAGCGCCTCCACGGGGCCAGAGGAGGTGCGGGGGTCCCACACACCCCGCTCTGTGCGGTGCCAGGTGAGGTGCGGGGGTCCCAAGTACCCCACCGAGTACAGTGCCAGCACCCCCCATCCACCCAAGCAGGAGCACGGCTGCTCGCAGGCGGTGGCTGGGCTGGAGGACAGGGAAGGGCACGGCGATGTCAGGGACCGGGCTGTCCCCGGGGAAATCGCGGCCGCCCAGAGCCCTCCTCCTTCCCGAGCGCGTGCGGTGGGACCCCCGGCTGCGGGGATGGCAGCGGCCAGACCCGCACCCCGCTGCGGGATGGGACGAGCAGCGCGGGCAGGACGGGACTGCGGAGGCGCCCCGGGACGCGGGCAGGGGGTGCGGGCAGGTCGGGGGTGCAGGAGCACGTGCGGGGTGCGGGCAGGGCGCGGAGCCGGCCCCAGGGACCCCCGGCGGCACCTCCCGGGCAGCCCCCTCCGGCTTACCCCCGGTCCCGCAGCCCCCGGCGCTCCCGGCTCCTCCCGGTCCCGCAGCCCCCGGCGCTCCCGGCTGCCCGTTACCCCCGGCCCCGCAGCCTCCTGTGCTGCCGGTCTCACAGCACCGCGGGGGGCACCGCGAGCCGGCACCAGCGGGCCGGGAGGGAGAAGGAGGGACCGGGACTCACCGTGGAGGTGCCGGTGGTGGTACCGCCGCTCCCCACCCGCCGCCGCCGCTGTGCGCCCGGCCCGGCCCGTGCGGCCCCTTTATACCGCGGCGGGGCCGGCACCGCCCGCAGCCCGCGGGGGCCCCGCCCGGCACCGGCACCGGCACCGGCACCGCCGGCACCGCCCCCGGCACCAGCACCGGCACCGGCTCCAGCTCCGCCCGCAAGCCCCGGGAACCCGCCCCGCACCGGCAGTACCTGGCACCGGCCCCAGCCCCGCACTGCGGGAGTGATGACCGGCACCGGCAGCGCCGGCGGCACCGGCATCAGCAGCACCAGTGCAGCACCGGCACTGGCACCATCACAGGCATCACGGCACAGCTGCTACACCGGCGGCACCGGCAGCGGCTCCGGTGCTGCACCGGAACCGGCATGACCATCACCCGGCACCGGCATCAGGCGCGGGCAGGGCTCGGAGCCAGCTCCAGGGACCCCCGGCAGGCGCTCGGGGTGGAGGAGGCACTGGGAAGGTGTCACCCTGTCACCCCCAAACCAGTGACAGGCGAGGGACAGGGAGTGGCCACTCCATCTCCCCCCGCCCCGCTCTGGGGACCCCTCTCATGACACCCACGTGTCACCTTCCTGTGCCACCCGTCCCCCCGCGGCATAAGCCACCTGTGTCACCCTGTCCCTGTGGCCAGCGGGTCATCCTGGGGACAGCAGCACCTTGTCCCTGTGCCAGCCTGATGGCAGGGGACAACCAGCTCCTGGAGGGGCCATTCTGAGTCTGTAGGAGGCACGGCCTCGACTCGGGGCTCAATTTCAGCACTTTTGGGCTTCTCAGCCCAGCCGTGTCCTGCTGTGCTGGGAGCCGGGTGTGAGGTAATGCTGGGGCTGGGCCTGGAGACTCCCAGCACCAGGAGCTGGGAAAGGGGATCCCTGCAGCAGGAGCACCCCGGGTGGGGACATGGCCAGGACTCCCAGCCTTGCAGGGAATGGGGGTGCTGGACGCCCCACACTTGGCAGGACACAGGGCAGCTGGGAAATGGGCT